TGACACAACTATAATGTCACAATATCCGTGTAGTGTCTCTCCTGATACAACTATAATGTTACAATATGCAGATGGTGTTTTTCCTACTTGACAACCCACAAAGTGCTTGTAACTTCATTACACACCTAACGTTACTAACCGGTTTTGATAGAATTCGTTCAATATTTAAACTTTGACGAACCGGGGGTAGGATGGGATAAAAACAATAATAACCCAATAACAAGAAGATGAAAAATGTAGACATCATTTAATCGACAAAGGTACACCACATCTACAATGTACAATGTATGTCACAAATACAAACGCTTGATCTACCGTGGGTGTCAGCAGCACTACTTAACAATGTAAACGGTGCTCAATCTTGAAAATGAATGCAACTTATAAATATGGATAAAAGTATCTACAATGAAAGGTACAACACAAACAATGAACCAGTACTAAACGTATATCAGTACACAATATATATTTACATAGTAAATCAGTACACAACATATATTTACATAGTATATATCCACAACTCTGTATCATTACTTAGACATCTGCACACCAATCAATCGACACACGTGTTCTGCATAAAAACAAATAAGACACATTTTGTTATGTAGGATATTGATATTTGCATTTCATATCAAAATGATAATTTTACTGCTTTTGACGGAATGGGTGTAAATACTATATCCAACATAAGATGTCCGTCAATGTTACTCGTCGGAAAATCGTAAACACGTGTACATTTTAAACGAAAAAATAAGATAGAGCCTTTGAATAAATGTATCCTGGAAGGTTTTCGTATAAATGTTTGGCTCCGGCGTTTTATCTAAATATAAAAAAAAACACACACAAAAGGATGTTGCATGAATGTAGAAAAGAACACCTAACACAATTCAATTCACGATAAGGTCAGTTACTTCAAAAGATTCCATAGAAGAGCCATCACAAGTACGTAAACAAATGTCACTTGAGATGTGGCTGCCGACGAGGTTGATAGAAACTGCATGTTCACACAGTTAAGTGTTCTCTCCGTCGTATTACACTTCTGTGTGAGGTGCTGAATGACACCGGAAGTGGATCCGCTGTTCAGTTCGTACGTCATACCGTTTTTGAGGGTGCACGTGCCCCCTATGCCTAGTATCATACCACTGTTGATGATGCGTTCAGTGTCACAATCACATTTGACAGGATTTCCTACCAAATCCAGATAGGAAAACGAACAAGGTGTCACCTCCAGTAAAAACGAAATGCTGGTGATGTTATTGTTATCCAGATCGACGCTGATTGATCGGGAAAGACCGGAAAAGGCCGAAGGTGACAAAGACACGATATTGTTGCGAGCCAACGCCAAGTTCTTCAACCACAATTTACCTATACCCATCGGTTTAGAAATTTGATTCATCGACAGATCTAAATCTGTTAACTTTCGCAGTGAGCTAAGGGCATTTACAGGAAATGACGTCAATTTTGTCGCTCTCAATGTCAAGGTTTCGAGGGTATCCTCCAAACCAGAGAACATTTCATGGTAGTAAATCAAGGGATTGTAATCAAGCTCCAGCATTTTCAAATTTGGCAATCCATTGAAAGCGTTACCTTGAATAAACTGAATATTGTTTTTTGATAAATCTAAGAAATGCAATTTTCTTAACTTGTGGAGGGAGTTTGAGGGTATGGCTGACAATGCGTTTGAATATAGCTTTAATTCTGTCAACGACTCCTCAAGTCCGCTGAATGCATCACTCTCGATATTTGACATCATGTTAAGACTCATGTCTATTTCCGCTAACATATGGAGGCCACGAAAACTATGATCACTAAGAATGGCGATGTTGTTATCATACAACACCAGTTTTTGCAGTTTTTTCATAACATTTATAGCTTCAGGTACACTCTCTAAGTGGTTATAGCTGAGATCGAGTTCCTCAACATGATCTAGGCCTAGAAAAGCTGTAGGTGTAACTTTTGAAATACCACAGTTTTTTATACTTAGCTTCCTGAGTGATGTGAGCTGTAGGTCTCGGAACAGTATTCCAGGTAACGTGTGATATTCGTTTTGGATGGTATTAGAATCAAGTACGAGCTCATTAAGGGTATGAAGTCCTCTCAAAAACCATAATCCTTGGTCTAATGCGATCCTATTCCCCTCAAGTACCAGGCGCGTCAAATGCCGAGATACAAGCGATAAGGAGTCGTTCTCAAGCGTCTCGATGACGTTCCTACTGAGGTCGATCTCATTTACCTGTTGAAGTGGCAGAAACTCGCTCGCTTTTATGCGAGTCAGGTTATTTCCATTGAGAAATAGTTTTGTTATCGCGTACGAACTCTGGTCGCCGTACAGGTTCGGAATTGTCTGTAAACTAACTGCACTGCAGTTCAGGATAGAGACGTTCCGATTGTTCCACCACTCGAACGTACCGCGACATTTACAGGAGGTCGTCTGCTCCAATTGTGGACAACGGAAGTCGTACGCGAGGATGGAAATACACAGCAACGGAATCAGCAAGCTTGCCTTCAACATTTTTGGGCTGAAAAAAAAAATAAAAAATTAGTGGGTTTTTTTTTGCATGTTGTGGTGAGAACTACAGAGTAAGCAACATAATTTAACACCAAAGGCATTTTACAAAATATCGAAACAATCCACTGTTATACAGATAACATGATATTTAACGTACAGCTGGCAATAACCTTTGACGTCCTAGTCTTTCTCACTCCTTATCACTGTTATTACAATGTTTGAGAGTGTTGTAGAATGTAACAGTAAGTTGATACGAACTACATTGTATAACTAAAACAGAGTACCCCGGCGAAATTGATTTGTTTCAGAGTTAATAGATTATCACAGACAATGGGGTAATTTTATCGCACACTGCGTCCAATTTCTCGTTGATCAGACTTAGTATTTTTCCAATTAAACGTAATCAGTGATATAAATTACACATAATGACTGAGTATAACGGACAATGCTTTCAGCGCCGAGCGAGGACAGAAACACTACTGCCAGGAGGCCTTTCTCCGTGCCTAGTAAATCAGGCTCGTTACAGCCGGCAATGTAATATCATACACAAAGATGATTCTTTTTTTTTATGGAAATAAAAAGATTTTATCTTACATATTTCGTTTAGAGAAAAAAGCATAACAGATGGTGGAACAATTATCACATCCGGGATTTTTTACAACATACCGGAAGTAAGGAGAATATGACACGGATAATACCAAACTGATGTATTCGCTAATTTAATATCCAACTGATATATTTCGTTAACTAGATAGGATTTCCATTATATCAATTCTACAGGCGAAACAGGTTATATTTCTTGTTGTTACATAGAGAGAAAAACACAAGGACAGTGTACCATATCATGACTTATGTTGAAGAAAATACATTCCTGGAATGCTATTTATGATATATTTTGAAAAAGCTTTTAAATTTTAAAGGATTCATATCAACTATATCTCTTTTTGACAGGGGTACTCCCTCTTGTCCCAATTTTTTTCCGTCCGATCCCTCAAAAAGCAAGATAGAATAAGATTTATGTTGAAAATAAGTTTGCTTTTTACAGTAATTTATTTAATTCGATATTTGTAAGAAAACATATATCTCGAATATAATGCATCTTCCTAGAATATTTACGTGGACATCATCTATGTCGAATATTCCACTAGACATATTACACAGAACACTAGACACATAACACAGAACACATAACACAGCATATAAAAAAGAACGCTAGACACAGAACACTAGACACAGAACACAGAACACTAGACACAGAACAATAGACACAGAACACTAGACACATAACACAGAACACATAACACAGCATATATAAAAGAACGCTAGACATAGAAAACTAGACACAGAACACTAGACACAGAACACTAGACACATAACACTAGACACAGAACACATAACACAGAACACAGAACACAGCATATATAAAAGAACGCAAGACATAGAAAACTAGACACAGAACCCTTGACACTAGACACAGAGCACAGAACACTAGACTCAGAACACTAGACACAGGACAATAGACACAGAACTCTAGTCACATAACACAGAACACTAGAAACATAACACATAAAACATAACACTAGACACATACACAGAACACATAACACATCATATATAAAAGAACGATAGACATAGAAAACTACACACAGAACACTAGACTCAGAACACTTAATACTAGGCACAGAACACTTAATACTAGAGACAGAACACTAGACACTTGATACTAGACACCGAACACATAACATATAGCCTAGAACGCTAGACACAGAACACTTCATACTAGACACAGAACATTTAATACTAGACACAGAACAATAGACACAGAACTCTTGACACAGAACACATAACACATCATATATAAAAGAACGCTAGACTTAGAAAACTAGACACAGAACAATAGACACAGAACACTTATCACTAGACACAGAACTCTTGACACAGAACACTTGCCACTAGACACAGAACATTTGACACAGAACACTTTTTACTAGACTCAGAACACTTAATACTAGACACAGAACACTTAATACTAGACACAGAACATTTAATACTAGACACAGAACACTTAACACTAGACACAGAACACAGAACACTAGACACAGAACACTTGACACAGAACACTTTTTACTAGACACAGAACACTTAACACTAGACAAAGAACACAGAACACTAGACACAGAATACTTGACACTAGACACAGAACACAGAACACTAGACACAGAACACTTCATACTAGACACAACACAGAAAACTACACACAGACCACATATCATAGAACACTAGACACAGAACACAGAACACAACATATATAAAAGAACGCTAGACATAGAACACTAGACACAGAACACAGAACACTAGACACAGAACACTAGACACAGAACACTAGACACAGAACAGTAAATACTAGACACAGAACACTAGACACAGAACACTACACATAGACCACATATCATAGAACACTAGACACATAACACTAGACACAGAACACAGAACACATAGCATATAGCATAGAACACTAGACACAAAACACATACCACAGAACACTGGACACATACCACAGAACACTAGACACATAACACAAAACACTAGACACTTAATACTAGACACAGAGCACAGAACACATAACATATAGCCTATAACGCTAGACACAGAACACTAGACACAGAACACAGAACACATAGCATATAGCCTATAACGCTAGACAAAGAACACTAGACACTTGATACAAGATACAGAACACATAACATATCGCCTATAACGCTAGACACAGAGCACTAGACACTTGATACTAGATCCAGAACACATAACATATAGCCAATAACGCTAGACACAGAACACCAGACACTTGATACTAGATACAGAATACATAACATATAGCCTATAACTCTAGACACAGAACACTAGACACAGAACAGTAAATACTAGACACAGACCAATAGACACAGAACACTACACATAGACCACATATAATAGAACACTAGACACATAACACTAGACACTTGATTCTAGATACAAAACAAATAACATATAGCCTATAACGCAAGACACAGAACACCAGACAATTGATAATACACACAGAACACATAACAGATAGCCTATAACGCTAGACACATAACACTAGACACATAACACTTAACACTAGACACAGAACCCTAGACACTTGATACTAGATAAAGAACACATAACATATAGCCTCTAACGCTAGACACAGAACACTAGACCCTTGATACTAGATACAGAACATATAAAATATAGCCTATAACGCTAGACAAAGAACACTAGACACTTGATACTTGACCCCGAACACATAACATATAGCCGAATACGCTAGACACAGAACACTAGACACAGAACAGTAAATACTAGACACAGACCAATAGACACAGAACACTACACATAGACCACATATAATAGAACACTAGACACATAACACTAGACACTTGATACTAAATACAGAACACATAACATATAACCTATAACGCTAGATACAGAACACTAGACACTTGATTCTAGATACAAAACAAATAACATATAGCCTATAACGCAAGACACAGAACACCAGACAATTGATAATACACACAGAACACATAACAGATAGCCTATAACGCTAGACACTGAACACTAGACACTTGATACTTGACACCGAAGACAGAACACATAACATATAGACTATAACGCTAGACACAGAACGCTAGACACAGAACACTACACATAGACCACATATAATAGAACACTAGACACATAACACACAACACTAGACACTTAATACTAGATACAGAACACATACCATATAGCCTATAACGATAGACACAGAACACTAGACGCTTGATACTAGATACAGAACATATAAAATATAGCCTATAACGCTAGACGCAGAACACTAGACACTTGATATTAGATAAAGAATACATAACATATAGCCTATAACGCTAGATACAGAACACTAGACACATACCATAAGACACTTATAACAAAGACACTAACCCCGGACACAAAACACAAGATACCATTAAATATATAACATCAGACACATAACTCTAGACACATCACACTAAACACATTACACACGGCAGCCTAATACAATACACTAAGTATTAGACACAATAACACTAGTATCAGAAACATTACAAAAGACGCGTAAACCTAGATACATACGACTGAACACAAAATACAAGTTATGATATATACTTCTAATTCGTATTTCTCTCTAAAATTGGATCCATCAGACAAAATAACGCGAGTAAATAGAGAAACACGTCATGTCCACATCTAGTAACAGCTTATGAAGGGAAACATAGATAGGAATAGTTCATGTAAGTCCTTTCTTATAGAAACGTAGGTAATCTCAGCGGCATTCCACGGCAAATGAGCTAGCTAATTCGTATAAAACATTGACATTATATCACCCCGCCGGAATAACATTAGGAATGTTATTAATCATCACACAGAAACGTCGGCGTTCCTTTTCGCTGGGTGCGTTAATGCATTAGCTTTATGTTATTTACAAAGCATTTATACGTACAAACAGAGGGAAAGTTGTCATAGAGTTGACTGGAAAGTGTTAAGCTGTACATTTACCCGTACAGACAGAGGGAAAATTGTCATAGAGTTGACTGGAAAATGTTAAGCCGTACATTTACCCGTACAGACATAGAGAAGGTTGTCATAGAGTTGACTGGAAAGTGTTAAGCTGTACATTTACCCGTACAAACAGAGGGAAAGTTGTCATAGAGTTGACTGGAAAGTGTTAAGCCGTAAATTTACCCGTACAGACATAGAGAAAGTTTTCATAGAGTTGACTGGAAAGTGTTAAGTCGTACAGTTACCCGTACAGACAGAGAGAAAGTTCGTACATGCGAAGAAGCTAGCATAGGTTGACTGGTAAATGTGCTCGGACAGACGATGGGAAAACTGTCATAGGGTTGGATGAATAGTGTTTACTCGGTTAGACAAAGATAACTGTATATATCGTAGGTTGAAAAAAGTTGACTCGTTCAGGTGGAGGAATTT